CAATTCTTCTGCATCTTTCCCTCAAGTAATAAGTGACTTTCCAGTTTAACAAGACCTCCTTACTGAGCCCAGAATTATATGTGCACATATTTCATCAAGTATAACTGCCTTCTGCCTTTATGGAGATTATGAGATTTAGCTGTCTGCTTTAAAATATCTTCCTTGCTTCTCTTTCTTTTAATCCCATGAAAAACTAAGGGTGGGGATGATAGACATGTCCAAGCTAGGTTCTCATTATCAGTTTCTAAATTACAACAGGAAAGTGGCTAACCAAGCCATCTCTCAATCTTTGGTCACCTTTTTACAGAAACAGGTTTTCCTTCATTTCTTTGTTACTATTTAGTTATTATAAAGCCAACCAAGACAATGAATTGCTTGATCTGCAGGTTTTCGTGGAAGAGAATTTTGTTTTGCTGAGCAAAACGCAACTTGCTGCATTCTCTATGATGAAGATGAATATTGACTTTTTTTAATGTTTGGGGCTCTAGATTGCTGTTGAACTTTTATGGTTCTTAAAATGGAACACTTCACAAATGGATCTGAGATAGCCTTTTATGGATTGAAATGCCTCTGAACTATACATTATTTAAAACATCAAAATAAATCACCAGTATGTGATGTAAGTATCTATTATATAGTCCTTTTCCCCACTAGTTTGAACTTCATACCTAGTGTTTTGGTTTTTCTGTAGTTAGCATCAAATCCACATTGATTATAGCCTAGAAATGTTGTCAGTTGAAATTTCAAAGTAAAAAGGTATTATTTGTTTCAGGTAAAATTTCAAAGCTGAAAACAAAAATGAAATAACATTTTAAAAATAATTTGTTTAATGTGAATGGTTTAACAGTGGTTTTTTCATGAAAAGAGAAAAATCTCATTGAAAAAAATATTCTTTTATTTCACAAGGTACATGAATTGCTGAGAAAACTGATTTTAGAATGCTCTCAAGAATTATCTCTTGATTCAATCAAAAAAGAAATTTGAAAACAGAGAAGCATGCTTACTTAACTCATGTTCTCCCACTTAGACCACAGACCCTTTTATATAATGTAATTCAGCAAAGGGTTCTAGAAACACTGTAGTTATCATGATCATCATCACCATCACTACCCTCGTGTAACTGACCATAAGGTGGGCATAACATGGTAGGATCCTGGGATTTCCAACAGGTTAACTCTAAAGAACAAGGGTTTAAGCTGTGCATGGTGATGCACATGTATGATCCAGCAGCTTGGGAAGCTGAAGCAGAAGAATTGCAAGTTCAAAGCCAGCCTCAGCAACTTAGCAAGGGGCTTTCTCAAAACGAAAAGTAAAAAAGGGCTGGGGAGATAGCTCAGTGGTAAAGTACCACTGGATTCAATTCCAAGTGCCAAAATATAAAATAATAATAATAATAATAATAATAATAATAATAATAATAGAATGTCAAATACAGTCCCAAAAAAAATACAAGAAAAGATCTGACAAAAGATCAAAGCTAGAGTCAGGGACCGGGTGTCTAATCTAAATGTAGTAAAAGTAAATGAAGGAAGTACAGCTGACCCCAGGTCCTCTTTCTTGACTTTTGAACCACTGCTGTTATCATCAATTATAACAGGATATAAAGTACTCATGATTAAATATATTGACATTTTAGAGATCAAAAGGAAAGGACACTGATGGTAAAAGTAGTGTCACAATGGGAGAAAAATGAGAAACGGTCATAGAAAAAAGAACTGGAGTGGGAATTAAAGTATTCATTCTTCCAAACCAAGCTTTTGGAATGTGGTAATAAAGAGAGGAGACACTGGGCTCAGGAGGTTTTAGCAACATGCCCAACATTACTCAATCAGGAACGGTGAGGAGCAAGTGAATTCCAAGGGCAATTGACACAAAGGCTATTCTACTGCACATGTCAATGATCAGCAAGTGGAACCTCGTGTTACCATCGCTTAAGACTTTTTGAAGAAGCTCCTCTATCTGGCATCACTAATGGTCAATTGAACATCAAACTCTAAGAGGGTCAAACCTCAGTACATGTGGCGAGCTCCCCATATAATTATAATGTATAGCCAAGGTTCAAAACACATGGTAATAGAAGGCTATCTAAATGCCACAAGTTAAGGCCAGTGGAAAGGCCACCTGTTATATTTCTGAAGACTCTATTGCCAGAGTTTCTGTAGTAGCCAAAACAAATATTTCTGGCCAGAAGCATATGGCAGATGATTACTCTCAGCATGTTTACAGCTAATTCATACTCCAAAAAGGAGGTTGAGAAACAACGATAAGTGGATATAACTTCCTGATAAAGACTGAGGATTGCTTAGATATTTCCTATAGGAAAGCTAATTGAGGCCTAAGAATTCATTCAAAAGGCCACTGTAAAATAGATAAATAAATAAATAAACAGAGCTTAAGACCTGCACTTTTGCTTTGCAAAAAGTGTGTGTGTAGGGGGCGGTGCTTTTCAAAATATTCCAGTATCTAAAACTTTAAGAAAAGTAGAGAACAAGATCAAGAGAAAGATCAAGCTGAAGGCTCATAACAAACATACAGAGTTGATTTAAAGATTAGGAGTAGAGAATAATCACAGAGAAGATAGCTACCATTGACACTTAACTACTGCCAGAGACTCTCTGGAAGAAAAGTTATAGAAAACAGGAGAATGTAGGGAAGCTAACAGAGGACATTTTTCCAGAAGTGGACAGTGCTCTGTTCAAACACAGCTGAGAAATCAGATATCACTGTGATTGGTGACATTTTTACTGCACACTTCATTCTAAATGCAGTTATACTTCATTTGTGCTCTACCAGATTTACATCTGGTATCGTGTTTGATGACCAAATAAATTGGAAATTCAATTTCATATCAGTTCTACAACCTGTAACTTTTGCCTAGCATGTGGGAGGCCCTAGGTTCAATTCCCAGCTGAAGGAATGAAGGAAGGAAGCTAAATCTCTGTTCTTTGAGGGTGGGTGGTGAAATAAGAATTAATAATAATAATAATAATAAACTTCAGAACATGGTGCTGCATACCTGTAATCCCAGATATTCAGGAAGCTGAGGTAGGAGTATGGCAAGTTTGAAGCTAGCCTGGGCAACATAATGAAACCCTGTCTCAAAATTAAAAAAAAATAAAATAAAATAAAAATGCTGGGAATATAACTCAATGGTAGAGGGCTTGACAACCATGTGGAAAGCCCTTGGGTTCAAATCCCCCATGTTAAAAAATAGAAACAAAAAGAATTTTTAAAAACTAGAAAAGGGAAAAACTCATATGTAAACTTTAAAAGATTGTTTTTATAATTTTGAAAATAAATAAGCAGTCTACTCAAACAAACACAAAAGAAAAAAGCTTCACACTGATAAGTATAAATCAAAGGGACACAGGAGCCAATTGAAAGAGCTCACAATGGCCAATGGCTGGAACAATTTGAGCAAAAAAATATATTAGTAGTAGATCATGATACAAAGCATAAAGTAAATACATGAGTCCATACTGATACAAAGTAAGGATTGAATAAATACATAAATGCAGAAGATGAGATGAATCCTCTGTGAAAACCTCCAAACAATTTTTGTAAATATTCCATGCTCAAAGAGCAGGAAGCATGACTCCTCACTCTTTGAGTTTGGGCCACACCTAATGACTTCCTAACCAAGAACACTGTGAGGAAAGGAGCAGGGGAAGAAAAACTTCTCAGTGGAGAGACCTAACAAATGGTACCTCAAGGACGTGATCAAGGTCAGCATCGATGGGGAAAATCATATTGGTAGTAAGTATTGTTGACAGATAATAAAAGTGTCACTTTATCTTCATGCTCTTCTTCCTCAATTCCCCAAATAGTGAGAGAAAAAAATCATACAATCCAACATAGGCCTTCCTACAAAATACCTGATCATGTTCCTAAAAACTGTCAAAGTGGTCAGAAGCAAAGTCTAAGATCTTCACAACCAAGAGAAGCCTCGGAAGACATGACAACTAAATGTAATATGATGTGGTGGATGAGATCCCAGAATTCAAGGACATTAAGGGAAAACTATGAAAATTAGAATAAACTGTCAACTTTAATAATATGCTCATAGATATTAGTTAATTAATTATAACCAATATACCATATTAAGGTAAGATGTTAATAAGAGGGGGAACTAGGTGCAGGGTTTATTGATATTATCTGTACTGACTTCTCAATTTTTCTATAAATTTAAAATTACTCTTTAAAAATCCATTTTTTAAAATGGCAATGTATTAAAGGATCATTTAGATATATTATTTGAATCATGACATAATAAATATAAGCCATTCTTTTTCTTTTACTAGTACATTATAGTTATACAGAATAATTGGATTCATTTTGTCAAGATCATACATGCATGGAATTTGATTTACTCCATTTCATTTTCTGGTACCCACCCCTTTCACTCTCCTCCTCCCTCTCTCTCTTCTCCTTCTTCTGCTCCACTGATTTCCTTTTGCTCTTTTACTTATTTATATTTGATCAGTGCTTTATAGATATACATAAAGGTAGAATTCATTGTGGTATATTTATACATACACATAGTGTGCTTTTTATTAGATTCATCCCACATTTCCTCCCCTTTCCTGTTCCTCCTTCCTCCCTGTCAATCTCCTTCTTCTACTACACTGATCTTCCCTCTGTCTTTATGATATCAGATCCCACCCCTTTTTCCTTCATTTTGCTCTAGCTTTCACATATGAGAGAAAATATTTGACCATTAATTTTCTGAATCTGGTTTATTCCACTTGGCATGATGTTCTCCATTTTCATCTATTTACTAGTAAATGCCAAAATTTTATTCTTCTTTATGATTGAGTAAAACTGCATTGTGTATGTATACCACAGTTTCTTTGTCCATTCATCTATTGAAAGGCAACTGGACTGGTTACATTATGTGGCTATTGTGAATTTTGCTGCTATAAACATTGATGTGGCTGTATCACTATGGTGTGATGATTATAGTACTTTTGGATAAGTACCAAGAAATGAGACAGCTGGGTAAAAATATGGAATGTTTAATAAATTTGTATTTTATTCTTGCACAGCAACCATTGCTAGTCTTCTCTGTGTTGTTCCAATTTTAGAATGTATGCTGCCAAAGCAAGAACAATACCAGTCATTTTCATAGAGAGAATACCAATTTATATATCACAATGCAATAATAATCAATGACATCCTCCACTAAATATTTCAGAATTATTCTCTTATTTATGCTCACCACACCTCTAAGAAAAATGCAAACAGAGAAAAACACTAGAGGATTGTATTTAAATTGAAAAGAAAAAGCAATAGTAAAGTGCACAATATATCATTTGAATCAAAATACACCCTAAACAAATAAAGCAAAGACCATAGAAAACACACCAAATGAGTCAGGTATGGTGGAGCATGACTGTAATCTCAGCAGCTCTGCAGCCTGAGGCAGGAGAATAAAAAGTTCAAGATGAGCCTCAACAATTTAGCAAGACCCTAAGCAACTTAGTGAAACTCTGTCTCAAAATAAAAAATAAAAAGGGCTGGGTATGTTGCTCAGTGGTTAGGCACCCCTGGGTTCAATCCCTGAATGAAAGAAAGAAAGGATGGATGGATGGATGGATGGATGGATGGACTGACAAACAGACAAAACAAAGGAAGGGAGGGAAGGAAAGAGGGAAGGAGGGAAGAGGGAGAAAAGGGGGAGGAAGAGAGAGAAGGAAGGAAGGAAGGAAGGAAAGAAAGAAAGAAAAAAATGTAAGTGATGGAACAGATGTATTTCTTGGTATCTATAAGGCAACTAGGATGACTTCCTCCCTGGTGAAAGATTTCTCACTCTACCTACTTGGTGAAATATGCTTCTTTGTGGAACATTCTCATTTTCTTACCTCTCCATGCCTACAAATTTTGTGTATGAATATAATGGGTCTTATTTCTTAAGTCACCTTAACAGAAGCTTCCCAAGCCTGAAAACAGAAATTCAAACAAGTTTCATAAAATTGAATATGCATGCCTTATACATTGAGCTGTATGTTTTATAAAATTAAAAGGTTGAGATTTTACATAGTGAAATTCATATGTCTTAGTGAGCTCTATTTCTGATGATTAATGTGTACATATCTAGAAGTCTGAAAAATAAAAATTCCAAAATTATAATAACCTCTGGACAGCTAAAGAGTTAAAATTAGAGAAAATGTCTCACTAGAGAAACACAATCCAAATTCTCTTCTCAATTAACTCATTTGAGATTATGTCAGCAAAGCATCTGAAATCCACATCGGTGCCCAGTGCCCGGCTGTGTTTCTGGTGTGGGGGGTGATGAAGCAGTAGATCGGGCTTACGGGAAGATGACTCTGTTCTCTTCTCCAGCATGGAGGATATGGGGCTCTTTGCCTCTCCTCTTCTCCTGCATCAGCACAGGAGGAGACAAAAACTCCACTAACATCTATCTTTTGCTTAATTTTGCAATACAAGAGAATTACCTATATTCCACATCCTAAAACATCATTTTAGTTCACTGGAATTTTAATGACCTTTTGATACTAAGCCTGAAAACTTGTTTGAATCTTATAGGCTCAAATGTTTAGACAACTAAATTTATGGCCTGGCTTGGGTATGCATAACATTGAATATATTTTCTTATGTATTTCTCTTTTAGTTTGTTCTAAAACTAATATACTACATTATCCTTTCTGAAGCACAAGACTAAACTTTACAAATCATCCTACCCACCTCCCTTGATTCTTTAGACTTAATTTCTCTCTCCTCCTTCACCTGTTCTCAACTATGCCACTTGCCCAGAGCAAGTTCAAGGTGGGATTTTAGGTACACTAAGAAAAATTACATTCCCATCTATCTTCTTCTACCAGATTCATGCTAATTACTGATGCCTGTAACTTATTTGAGAAACAAAGCCTCCCAGAGCTTTTGTATTTTAATTAGGGAAAAGAATATTCAAGACACCCTTAATAGGTGTATAGTTATTTACATTTGCCCATAAGTATTACTATCGGCAGCCCTTTTCACAAAGGAAAGCTTTAATAAGAGAATAGTGCAATTAGAAGGAAGCATCAAGAAATGTAGAAAAGGGGAACAGCAAGATAAACCAAAGTCTGTCCCACAGTTTTGCATAAATTTCAACAATTCACTTAATCCTAGTATTAGAACTTACAATTCCTTGGCTTCCCACTTGTCACACAGGAATGACAATAAGTGCCTATCACCCTTGTATTGGCTATGTGGCACAGACAGACTGTCAGCCTTCTAGCATCAAGCACTTTGCATTCACTCAAGCAAATATCATATGCCTCATTCAGTAGTGACAAAAAACCATCTCTTTATTATGACAGATCTCACCATGGTCTATCCTCTCCTTCTCCCATAATGTAGTTCTTCCATCTAGGCTTCCCACAACACAGGAAGAGTGCAATTACATGTGTTTTTAGGCTGACTCATTTTCTGATGGTAATGATCAGCAATTTAAACTAATTAGGAAGATCCTTTTGATGTTTTTTACTTCATTTACAATTAGTATCCTACTATATATATATTTTTTTCTATTTTAAATAAACTTACAGCTGGTGGTAGGAGAGAAAGAAATCATTTTCCTATCCTCAATTTCTATCTAGTTTCAGGGAATTGCTCAGCATCTGAATGTTTCTCTCTTGAAGAGAATATACAGTGAAAGGTGATTAGAAATAGTGACTGAGTTACTCTGAGCTGCCTCTGATAATTGAATTTTAAATTCAGATCCAATGGGGACTTAATATCAGAAGTGCAAAATTTCAGGATGTTCTTTCTCCTTTGGTTCAATTTCCTATTTACACTAAATCCTTATTAAAATTCAGGATGAATTCCTAGACTTCCGTATCTTGAGCCAGATGAATTGAACAGATTAGTCAGCTTCAGAGATCAAGACCCTAAAGAAAGGTACAGAGAGCTAAGTAAAACTAAATGAAATGAAGAAGTTGGATATTCTGCTGGAAAAGTTTGAGGTGAGGAACTCTTCAGTTTAAGAGGGTAAGAAACACAGCACAGCCCTGGGCAGGTTAGCAAATGTGGTATGCCCTCTCCAAAAAAGACTTTGCACATGAATTAACCACTGGATTCATCATCAAAGGGCTGCTAGTCCACTGCTTCAAACAAGGGAACTTAGAGCATCAGTCTTGAGCTGAGTAATTTTTCTAACAAGGCATAGAGGTAAGGGTAGGGTATGTCCATGTCAGCCTGAATGATAGGATGAGTGTGGTCAGTGGAAAAACCCAAACTCATTTCTGCAGATTCAGGGTCAGACTATTGATAGATTCTCCATGAGCTATCCTTTGGTGCTACAGAGAATCCTGTGAGAATCTCTATAGCAAAGTTCTCATGATTTTGGATGGGCAAGCGCTTGGGCCACTGACAGATATGAGTGTGGCTTGGGTTGGTCTCTGAAGATGAGTTGTCACAGAGCACTGCACATGGCACTTGCCAAGAGAGCACCTTAGAGGCCTCAGCATCAAGCTCCCTTAATACCTACACAGGACACCACAGATAGTGATTGCTATCTTGTGTATGCAGATGTGGCAGACAAAGAAAACAACCAACAATCCCTCTTCATTGCCTGTGTACGAAGACTGACCATATATTCATAGCTGCAGAAAACACTTGCTGTTCTGAATTAAGAGGTTCCTAAATGGCCTCCTTAACTCTTCAGACAGCAGTCAATTTTCTGTCCCAGTGTTTGTTGCAAACCATCTACATGTACTCCTAGAGAAACCTTGCAGTCAATCACCATGATCCATCATTTGAAATTATGAGTTAAGGTATACTTAGAACAAGCAGAATCCTCTGCTTAGCTTCTAGGTAAGAGCCTCTCTTTCTCCATTATTAGTTGCTTGGTTATACAATTTCACCTCCCATAATTCTACTTTCACACACAGTTGCACACTACTCCAGCACAATTACAACCACCCACCACTAATGCTGTGCTACTAACGTTGTGAGCATTCCCCAAGTCTCAGTGGTCACTTTCCCTATACCAAGCCACAGAGCCCATCACCTCTCTGAGTGGAATAGAATATCTTTTTCTCAATCAGTGGAGTAGACAAAGGGGAATAAAAGGAAGGGAAGAGTAATGGGATAGAGAAAGGCAGTGGAACGAATCTGACCTAACTGTCCTGTGTATCTGTAGGAACATACCACAATATATCTCAGCATTATGTACATCCATGAGACATTAATTTTAAAAACTATAAGTAAATAGCAGAGAGAGAAATCTAGTAGAGAGACGGGAACAGGGAGAGACAGGAAAGGAGGGGAAAAGGAAGTCCTGGGAACTGAAGTAGAAAAAATTATGGTCCATGCTTTTATAATTAGGCCAAAATGAATCCTATTGTCATGTATAACTCCAGAGAGCCAAAAAAAAAAAAAAAGAAAAAAAAATCAAACTACGGGTTTTTGGCTCCTTATTGTTCATTGGTGTATTGTAGTTGTACATATTGACAGGATTTGTTGTTATATATTCACGTATGCATACAATATAATTTGGCCAATGTCACCACTACCCCCTTCCTTCATCCTGCTCCTTGGTCCCTTTCCTCTACTAATCTCCCTTTGATTTTTAGGAGATCCACCCCTACCTTTGTTTTCCTTTTTCCTCTCCAGCTTCCGTACATGAAAGGAAACATCTGACACTTAACTTTCCAAGTTTGACTTACTTCGCTTAAATGATGGTCTCTAGTTTTCATCCATTTTCCTGCAAATGACATAATTTCATTATTCCTTACGGCTGAATAAAACTCCATAGTGTCTATACACCACATTTTCTTTATCCATTCATCCACTGCTGGACAGCGAGGCTGGCTCCAATGTTTGGCTATTGTGAATGGTGCTATTCTAAACATGGGTGTGCATTTATCCCTATAGTAAGATGACTTTAATTCTTCAGGGTAAATACCAAGAAATAGTATCTGGGCTGTATGGTGATGGTTCCATGCCTAGTCTTTCGAGACATCTCCATACTGATTTCCATAGCAGTTGTACTAATTTACAGTCCCACCAGCAGTGTGGAAGCATTCCTTTTTCTCCAAATCCTCAACAGCATCTTTTATTATTTGTTTTCTTGATGACTACCATTCTGACTGGTGTGAG